AATAAAAATTCAGAAATAAATGCTGCAATGTTTTCAGTTCAACGAAAATGTTTTTTTTTTCGAAAAACAAAGGGGTGGTGATCTGTAGAAAATTGTAAGGAGAATCCGAAAATATCATAATAAAGCCCTGTATCTCAGCCACTGGAACATTGTTTTTTAAGATAATGCTTCCGATTTTGTACAATATTTACATACATTCATGTGATTAATTCCAAATTATTTCACTCACTAGTTTCTAAAATGTTATAAAAAATTAAAAATATTAATTTAACACTGGATTGTTTTAGTGAACCGACCTAGACAAAAACTTTATATGAAAGACCTACCTTAAAATTCACTAAAGAATTCGAGGTTTCATTTTTTGTCACTGCTTGTAAATCACCATGTAGTTCATTTGTAAATTGATGTCATTGGTAATGTTTCACGTATAATTTCTTCATTCACATTATTACATTTTCTGAAAATTCTAAAATTATATTGTAACGTATGAATCATGATGAAGTTACGGCGTCAGCTGTTAAATTTCAAAATGAATGCTAACAGAGACAACAGAAATGTATTGTCTCTCTCTAAAAAAGGACAGACACATATCGCTGTCCTCTCGGGCTCTGGAGTCAAGTAGTGGGGGTAATTTTCAATCTCTTACCAGTAAAGTTGCCTATGTGTGACACCAACACAAATGTTCCTACTTGTTTTCATTTACCCCTACGCCCTTCACCGCACGCACTATCATTACGATTACGTGTTTCTCACAATTAAGGGTTTTTTGGCGAGAAAACCGCTAACCCGGTTAACTCTAGTTTGTTGCGGAAATGCGGCCGGTGTAGGCGCTTTGTGGGACCTCCTTTTGTCCTGGCTGGGCCCTGCCGACTAGGGCCCTTTCTTCTGGCGCTCTTCTTGCTTCGCCGGCTCGTCTGTGTAAACCCCGGGGGTAGTGTCATGTTTATGTGTGGTATGGTTGGGTAGGGTAGTGCGGCTATGCAGCCTGGGATGCGCTTTGCTAAGGTGGCCCTTAGGCTAGCGCGGGAGGGGAGGGGTAAGGAGGGTATGGGGGGTGTGTATGTGTGTGTGTGTGTGTCGTTGTCTTCGTTTCTTGATCCTGGCTGTCTCTGAAACAGAAAAGGTTAGCGGGCAGGGGGGGGGTCATTGGGGTGGTCACCCAGGGTCAAAAAGTTGGTGTCTAGGTCTTTTGTGTTTGTCGGTCACGTCGGGTACGTAGTCAACGGCTTGCCTGAGGAGGGGATTGTCATGTCTAGCGGCTACGTCAAATCGTTTCTCCGCGTTTTGTCTTATTGTCTGTGTAGCGTTTGTGTATTGTAAGTCTCGTAATATGTCAGTGTTTCTTACGTACCAGGGCGCGTCGGTGGCCGTGCGGAGGGCTATGTTTTCCACAGCCTGTAATGACTTTAAGTGGCTTTTTGCCGCGTGACCCCACGCCGTGGAGGCGTAGGTTAGCTGCGGTTGAAGTACCACCTTGATAAGCGTTCGCTTATTCCTTAAACTGAGGGTGTTTCCACCTTTGAGTAAGGGATAGAGCCTAGCCCTGGTGGTCTTCGCTCGCGCCACCGTCTCCACGATGTGCGGTTACCACGTATTTAACCAAGTGATAATTAAAGTGTTTCATAAGTAATGAGTCATGGAACAGCTGTTGATGGTTCACGTTAATTTCAACGATTAACTTAAACTATTAATAGATGTTTTGTGATCTATTACTTATGAAACACTTTTTATTCTTTGTATATTTTGTTACATTTAAATTTACCGCCATTATGGTGCAGCGACATCTATTAGATTGTGTTTCCAATGCAGTTTCCTTAATTATTTTATGGTTTGTGGTTTTCGAGTGAGTTGTTTGCTGCACCAACTACAGATGGCGGTACTCTGCCGCTGCTGTCGACAGAATACACAGAATAAAACACTCTTATTTAGTTACTCATATGGTTTAAGTTAGGTTAGGAGTATTTCAAGAGTACAACATGCTTCGAGCATATACTACCCGAACATATATGAGGTCTGTTCCAACAAGAGTCAGGGATTGGTTCCCAACCGTTCGAAATGTTTGGCCAGCTAAATTCTAAATGTGTCTTCAGTGAATATATCGCAAGAATTAGTTGGATGCACATTTCTGACGGTTTGAAACCAGTCCCTGACTCTTGTTGGAACAGATCTTGAAAAAGTTCCTACTTAGAATCTATCGACGTCAGTGGTTCGTGATCCATGGTCCACGTATTTGTCGTTGACGTTTATATTCAATTTCCTTAATTAGCGAGTTACTGAGTTGTGTATTTGTCTATGTATTTGACAGGAGATTTTTGTTTATGGATTTATGGTTAGAATTGGAATAAATATTTATATATGTTATAATCTGCAATGGCATTCACACTTTGGAATCTATTTGAAGCAACATTGTTATGCTTAAATGCTATATGTATTTTAAACGAAGAAAGATTTTTAAGTAAAGGTAACTAAGTATATAACCTCATTTATAGTTGTGATTTTTTCATTACATATTGTTTTTCATTTGAATTGTGGATTTACACACCGTAGATTATTATCTATTAGGTGACCTAGTAATGAATAATGCAATAATGCTTTGTTTCTACAAACAGCTTCGGTTTAGGTATAAAATGAAAATTAAAGTGAAATGTATCTTCCATGTCCTAGCATATCAATGACTATTATATTCAAGAGTAGCAGTCAACATCAATGTGACAGTTAAATGTAAATATTCTCAATTTCCGAAAGGGTAAAGCAATACATCCATAATTTAAGTTTCTGATATTTCTCTTCCATCCATGGATGAAAAGTAGAATGTTTAAACACTGTTGGCAACTATTTTAAACATATGAATATAGTTTTAGTAAAATAAAATTTAAAAATTATTAAGATATATTCCGGATATTTTTGTTCCATATCATTTTTATCTTTAAAAATGACTTGCTAATTATAATTGTACAATTTTTTTTAGTTGGTTGGAGTTCTAAGAGTGCAAATGTTCAAGGTTTTGGGGAGCATCCATCTGCAAAAGCACAAATTTTCAATTTAATACATTCAATAAGAACAGTTGTAAGAAGTAAGTTCATTGTTAATGAAGTTCTTAAATATTAAATATTTCCTTTTTTTCAGTACCGCTGATATTCTTAAATATTATCACAATGTTTATAAAATTAATATTGGGATGACATTTTCGTTAAATTACTTATTTTTTAAATGTATTTATAATTATGTAAAAATAAATGTATTTATTTGTACGTTTTTTCTTATTTTCGTAATTTTTCTAGCCTATGTTTTACCAGATAAGTTATGTTTTAAAAAATGCTAAACCTGTGAGAAAATATAACCCGCCTATACTATGGTATGTTAATTTCTAGATTTGTTAAACCAGTATGCCTTCCAAATAATCCTGCAACCAACAATGTAATATAGTAAAGAAAATTTTTTGGCCATATTAAAATTTCAACATAAGTGCAGTAAACTATGAGTTTTTAATAATTAAAGAAAAAAAGTCACCTTTTTCAACTGAACATTGAATTCCAAATAAAAATGTGATACACAATAATGTTTTTCTTCGTACTATTCCCTTGGATTATATTTTTTAATGATAAATAGATGGTGATCATGAATTTAATTAGTTATTCACTTACTTAATATTAGCACTACTCAATTTAAGCAATAAGATATTTTAGCTTCCTACATAGATTATTCAAGAAATATACCACTGCTTATGTAACCTTAAAACTTAAAACCTCAGTTAAGTAACAAGTATGCGCAATTTTTCCTTCACAGAAATTTCGCAAAATTATATGAAATCCTATTTATGAATTTTTGATATCTTGTTTTAAGAAACTGAACATATAAGCTGCTAATATTAGTTTTTTTAATCAAAATGTTATAATAAATATAATCGTTTTTCTTATAACATTTTTACAAATAGTAAGAAATTAATGCTCGGGAAATAATGAGAAGTTACTAGAAATTTTAGTTTTTAAAAGTTCAAAAATAGTAGAAATTGTTTTATAATTAATGATTTTCTTATCTGGTTCTGTTTGGTTAACACCTAGTTTAACTAATAGTTTTATTGTTAATTTATTATTCGGACATTAAAATTTGCCAGAAGTCATGTTTTACTTTCAACCTGGTTTCTTATAATGACTCATTTCTTCATTTCAACATGAGTATAGCTACTACGTACAGCGACGTGAAATTGCTTTCCGCAATTATGTATTAAAATTTTTAGTTTGATTAGGTACCTACGTTATGTTATTTTTTAATATATTCATTTATTTGTTTGCCTCGATCTTGATACAATTTGAATCCAACTGACAGGAGGTAAATTAATAATTATAAATTAAATATTTGTACTCTCTTTTATTCACACCACGTGCTGAAACTACATATACAGGGTGTACCATTTAACACTCCCGCTGCTAATATCTCCAACATAAAGAAATTTATTTTAGTTCCGGAAACTGCGGGGTTGTTAGAAAATTACTCAAAATTTAACAATCTTTCAGATGGACTGCATTTCCAAGTTCCAGGAATAAAAAATTTTTTAGTATCGCCACGCCATCTACACAGAAAGATTTGAACTAACAATTTTAACTACAATTTGAAGCTACTCGAGGAACCTAACAACCCTAATTTCCGGGACTAAAATAAATTTCTTCATTTTGGAGATATTGGCGGCGGGAGTATTAAATGGCACACCCTTTGCGTATGTTGTTTAAACTAATAGCAAAAACGAAAAGGTACCCATTTACTTAACAAAATGTTAAGAATCTAGGCTAATTGAATATTACCTAATATGTGTTTCGGGATCTCAGTTTGGACGCCCACGAAAAATAAACCATTTGTCTAACGTCGGCTACAGATGATGCGATCATCCGCCAAACGTTTGTCAAACACAAATGCATTAATATTTGCAGATTATGTGTCTAAAATCTATAACGTATCATATACATTCAAAAGCACAGGCTTCCTCAGGATCTCGTTAATATCCTATTTATGGCGTATACCCTAGAATATTGACCGTATGTCTTCAGTACCAGTATCATTTTTATATTCGGAATATTTTATTTTGTAACATATGGAGAATATCCGATTATTAATTTACTATATAATCTTTGGAAAGTAGTATCTGAACATCCTCGGGATGGTGATGGTACCTACAATTTATTATCTTTCATCTATATGTATATCGTTTATTAAGCAAGTGTCACATTGTGTAGTGGTGAACGAATACACAATAGTCCAATAGCCATATTGGTATTGGTCCATCCATAGCATGGGCGTAGCCAGGGGAATGGGAGGGCTACGGACCCCTTATTTCTTACTGCATGCTGCAAATTAAAAAAATTATATTATTATTACTGCCCATTTGTTATTCTGTATAATTTTAATTAATATAAAAATTTAAACAAAAATAAGTACATGTATCATCATATTTATAGGGTATTGTTACCCTTAAAATCTATTTTTAGTTCTTAACTTTACACCTTTGAATTAGATATCAAGGAATTGGTAGAACATTATTAATTACAAGTACATAACCTCATACTGCTTCTAAGTTTTGGTAGTTCTTTTGAAAAATCAGGCACCTACCTATGTAATTTCCACTTTGTAATTGACGAATAACACTTTGATACTGTGAATATTTAAAGTAAACTACTAAAGTATTACTTTCAAACTCTGGGACATACGATGTGATATCTGAAAGATATTCTGATTTGTAACATAATATATCCCTCGAAAGCTCTAGACCAGGGGTCGGCAAGTAATTTTAGATGGGGTCCGGATACTTTTAAAAATTTTTAACGAGGTCCAGAAAAAAAATCATATTTCTTACAAATTTTCATTTGAACTCAAATTTAATCTGCTTACTAACCATTAAGAACTCAAAACAGTCACACAATTGTAAAATACTAGAAAAAATGATAAGGTTGGCACTCAAACGTAAAAAAAACATTTTTTAAATAATTTATTTGAGTAATTTATACTTTCAAAAAATTTTTGGCGGTCCAGTATTTTACCTTCCGCGGTCCGGACCTGGACCGCGGTCCGCCAGTTGCCGACCCTTGCTCTAGACCCTGGACTATAGTCAGAACCTTACATCCCTGGGACATGGAATAGTCCCAGTAGTATAGGACATGGAGTAGTAATAGAATAGTGGATATCCCACTAGATATCCTAAAGATATCTTTAGGACAGGTTTGTACTGCTTGTGCACGATGTACAGATGTGAAGTATGAGCACATGACATGATATGTTCAATTCAGTACCAATGGGACAGTTTCTTTCAATTTCAAACAACCCTATTTTAAAGATATCCTTTGCACATATATACATCCCAGGGATGACGGTTCTTGTTCAGCCATTTTTTCGTTTCAGGAACATATTATGTTCCAAATCAATACATCCTTCAAATAGCCAACCGTATGTTCCAAGGCATATTGTTTGGAGTGGTCAGTCTGAGGATATCTGAATATTTATGGCTTATTATTAGCATATCTCCTAACTATGTCCCGTTGATTAGCTTACAATAGGAGCCTGAGAATGTCTGAATATTATGAGGGATAGGTATGGACGTCAAGGTCAAACATAGTATATGTAATTATGCAGTGGCGGCGCGTGAACATTGATTGAATGTGTTCTGCTTAGGGTTGTTACATTTGTTGAATTGAATTCCGGGATATTAAGTGGCCGGAGTCATTAAATGGCGCCGCAGGGGAAAAATTTTAAAATTTTCAAGGTCACGCGTTTTCCTGGCACTTCTGAATTTCAAGGAACAATGAATTTATAAAAAAAATACAGATTTTCACAAGAATGATTTTTGAAATTGATACCTTTTTGAAATATCCATTTACGAATTACCTACTGATGGTATAATAAATTGGAATAAACTAAATATATTTTATTAAATTATTGAATATTGTTTATAAAAAAAAATCGTTTGTGAAATTTACCAACGATTCAACGAATTTTAATTTTCCTCGGCGTGTTATGATTTTTTCTTTATCTTTTTTTATATATATGTACATTATATTATATTCCGGGAGTTATACGTGCAAATCCGAAATCCGGGACCATACAGCTAATTCCCGGTACAATCACAGAAAATCCCGGTCATACCAATGTGGCTAGATGTTCTTTTAAAATGTCGTCAAGATCTACACTAAAATTTATGAGTCCACGAAACACATCAGGGTTGTCCGAATTTTCTGTCTCGTCGT